AAGTGAAAACAAAACTAGAGATGCAACAAGGTTGGAAAATTTAGGTGTTGAACCATAATTAAAGCTGGGCACTTCCAGGATTTGAACCCGGGACCTCTCGCACCCGAAGCAAAAATGATACCACTAGCCAAGGTGCGTGGGTTTTGTTTGGTGTGCAATGTGGAAACAAAACTATTGATGCAACCGATGTGGAATATTTAACCATAGTTAAAGCTGGGCTCATCCTGGATTTGAACCTGGGACCTCTCACACCCAAAGCGAGAATCATACCCCTAGACCAACGAGCCATGGAACATTGGTTTCATTTGGTGTCCAAAGTGAAAACAAAATTACAGATGCAGCAAGAGTGGAATATTTAGGTGTTGAACCATGATTAAAGCTGGGCTCTTCCAGGATTTGAACCCAGGAACTTTCGCACCCAAAGCGAGAATCATACCCCTAGACCAACGAGCCATGGAACATGGAATTTGTTTGGTGTGCAATGTGGAAACAAAACAACAGATGCAACAAGGTTGGAAAATTTAGATGTTGAACCATAATGAAAGCTGGGCTTGTCCACGATTTGAACCTGGGACCTCTTACACCCAAAGTGAGAATCATACCCCAAAACCAACAAGCCATGGAACATTCGATTTGTTTGGTCTGCAAAGTGGAAAGAAAACTACAGATGCAACAATGGTGGAAAATTTAGTTGTTGAACCATAATGAAAGTTGGGCTCATGCGGGATTTGAACCCGGGACCTCTCACACCCAAAGCAAGAATCATACCCCTAGACCAACGAGCCATGGAACTTGGGTTTTATTTGGTGTGCAAAGTGGAAACAAAACTACAGATGCAACAAGGGTGGAAAATGTATTTGTTCAACCATGAGGAAAGCTGGGCTCATCCAGGATTTGAACCCAGGACCTCTCGCACCCTAAGCAAGAATCATACACCTAGACCAACGAGCCATGGTGTATGAGTTTTAGTTGGTGTGCAAAGTGGAAAGAAAACATGGTGTATGGGTTTTATTTGATGTGCCAAAGTGGAAACAAAACGACAGATGCAACAAGGTTGAAAAATTTAGTTGTTGAACCATAATTAAAGCTGGGCTCAACAAGGATTTGAACCCGGGACCTCTCGCACCTAAAGCAAGAATCATACCCCTAGACCAACGAGCCATGGAACATGTGTTTTCTTTTGGTGTGCAATGTGGAAACAAAACTACAGATGCAACAAGGGTGGAAAATGTATTTGTTGTACCATGAGGAAAGCTGGGCTCATCCGGGATTTGAACCCGGGACCTCTCACACCCTAAGCAAGAATAACACCCCTAGACCAACGAGCCATGGAACCTGGGTTTTATTTGGTGTGCAAAGTGGAAACAAAACTACAGATGCAGAAAGGGTGGAAAATGTATTTGTTGAACCATGAGGAAAGCTGGGCTCATCCGGGATTTGAACCCGGGACCTCTCGCTCCCACAGCGAGAATCATACCCCTAGACCAACGAGCCATGGAACCTGGGTTTTATTTGGTGTGCAAAGTGGAAACAAAACTACAGATGCAACAAGGGTGGAAAATGTATTTGTTGAACCATGAGGAAAGCTGGGCTCATCCGGGATTTGAAACCAGGACCTCTCGCACCCAAAGCGAGAATCATACCCCTAGAGCAACGAGCCATGG